TTGCAACAAAAAAGTTAAATTGTGGGTATTTGGGCTTACAACCGAAAATATTATGAATGATATAACATTTTTGTTAATTGAAAATGTTATGAAAAATGTAACAATTTCGATTGTAATCAAGAATGTTACTTTGACAACTTAAAAAGTTACGCTCTTAATAAGATTTTTTGTTACAACCGATTTATATCGTTTTTTAACCTTATATTAACAAGTTGTATTTTAGAATTTCCTGGTTTCATTTGATGCTGTTGACATCATCACCATAATACATTCGTAAAGCAGGCCATTCCTATTGTATGGTATGTTATCTTAACCAAGTATAATGATCGTACAATAGAATGGACATTAAAATTTCATGTAGATATTCTTTTGAAAAAGGTTATTAATTTTTATAACATTAAAATAGAATAATACAAAAAGATTTTTAAAAATAGTTTGACATCTAACTATAATCTATAGTATATATTTATAAAGATAATTACTTAATTACAAAAGAAATGTGCGTAACAAAAAATCTTCTCCAACTATTTTCTTACTTTCAATGAACCTAAAATATAATACGCCCCATAAATTCAATTAAATTATATTTCTTATTTTTTTTTATTTTATACCTTTACCAATTATAATCTGGTCGAATTCAAGTCAAACTCTAACAATCTTTTAATTGACACAAATTTTAAAAGTACAAGGAGTTCAAGATAAAATCTCAAATTCAGTTAAACACCCAAACTCAACAAAAGAATCAAATGCATTACTCTGATGAACAAGTTCTTCGCCTCTTCCATGAAACCCCTTAAAGGATACTAATCAATGAATGTCTATTGAATTCAAACCTTGCCTAAATTTGGATGTATGAGTTAACTTAGTGTACTCGCCAGTAAGATCATCATAAATTTCAACTTTGTTTGTAGTTGTATAACTATAAGTAATATCATACAAAACATAATCCTCATCATCAATGAAAATTTTATCTTTTTCGTTATTTATCTTTGTGACAAATTAGACTGTCTTTTGTTTTTCAAATTCGTTATACCCACTATAGACTCTTGTTTTCATTTGAATTCAATACAAACTTTAATTTTAAAATTTTAAATCGTTAATTTTATTCTAATCATCTTAACTATTCACTTGCTAATTTTGGAGTTAAGTTTATTATTAGTATATATGAACATAATAAATAAATTAAGATTATTAGTTTGATTGTATGTTTGTATATATGGGTTAGGATTTACTTGTGCAATGTAAAATTCTTTAGTTTTACACATATTTTAGAAAATTGGATGAGTGAAAATAGATGAATGAGATTGATTCTTTGTTTTATGTTTCCAGTGAATATATTCTCATTTTCTACTATTAATTTCAGCCATCTATTTTCACTCATCCAACGATCCCAAATCTGTATAAAATTAAAATAGTTTTACATTGTGTAACAAGATCATATCCCTATATGTGTGTGTGAATACTTACTTACTTTTATTTTTGCAATTCATTATTACAAGTGAGCCCGTTACACAATAACTCAATTCAACCAACTCAAACAACAACACAACTTGAAATCCAATGCCTTAAACTGGGTCAGCCCAATCAAAATAACAATGGTCCAATTGGCCCTAACCTAAAGTTGACAACTAAAACCCTAGACTGCTCAAATTATGCCGCCTCTGGAAGCTTTTAGAAGGTCGATGGTGAGCGTTTGATTCTAATCTGGGGATCTGACGGTCCAAAGGGAAAGATGAAACATCTCTTGCGCGTGTGACCAAAACTGGACTCTTCAACTTCATCCCACGTCAGCCTTCCACCAGCCTAGAGCCCACGCGCCAGAGATCATGCCCCCAAAAGCCACCTCAGCTAACGATGTCGTTGGCCATGTCAACGGGGACCACGAGTCCCCACCCAGTCGCCTCAAACTAATTAACTCCGAGTATACATTTGTTAATTAGAATCAATAATTGTTGTGGCTGATTCGTTTCTATTTTTATCCGTTATCAAATCATGCTGTGTCATTGCAAGTTTTTACACAAACGATGATACAACGCAATATTTATGTAAACCACGTCTCAAACTAAATTTTAGTTGGTGTTTTTTTTATTAATTGTAAGTGTGAATATATTTAAATTTAAAATTTTAAAATATTATAGATAAATTAAATATTTTAAAAAATAAAAAAATATAAATGTGTATTAGGAGGGTAGAACCTTACCTACTCGAACATTAATTAGCCCTCTTGTCATCTTCATCAAACTGTAATTACCTCTAAAAAATGACCCTAAACAAAAAGTTAAGCTTTGGAAATCTTTTCATTTCTGACAAAATTTGTTCTATAATATCCCGGTAGGCTAATAAAGCACTCTTTAACCTTCCTGTTATTTTTTCTTTTGTGCTCTGTTCTTCTAAGCGAGGGAAAGAAAACAAAGGGAAAACAAAAGATTGAAACTAAGGCTATGGAAAAAATGGATGATAGATTGATTACATTTTCGAAACGGGGATCTGGAATTTACAAAAAATTAAGGGAGATAGCCACACTTTGTGGTGCCCACTTTCTGTTCATTTGCTTTTCGCCTGCTGGTAAGCATTTTTCATTTGGTCATCCCTCAGTCGAATTTGTTGCAAACTGCTTTCTAAATAATAATAATGGGTCTGCCCCAATCAACACTCAATCTCTTGTTGAGGCTCAACAAAGAGAAAGAATCAATCGGATTATTCAAAATTACAATGAGCCGGCCAAGCTATATTATTATATGTTTGAAAAAAATAACGTTTAGGTTAGACTATGGTTAAAACTAATTACATGTTTGGACGGATTTAGGGATAAAATTGAAAGATTTAAAAGTTTGATGGCCAAATTAGATTGAGGGTCATAGTTTGGGGATGAAATTTAAATGTTCAAAAGTTTAAGGACTAGTTTAAAATGAGTATCATGGTTTGAGGATAAAATTAGAATATTCAAAAGTTTAGGAATCAATTTAGAATGAAAATCATAGTTTGAGTACATATGATGCAATTAACTCTTTTCTTTTCTGCTAAGCATATGCTTATAATAAATGTGTTATTCCATTTACAGTGTGTGACACATGAGTTTCAAATTAGTACTCAATAATTAAATTAAAAAAAAAATCGAATATTATATTTACATTTACAAATATAGACTAATTTACTCATTAAATCGTCAAGTTTTGTAATAAAACAACTTCAATACACCAATATTATCTGAACTAGTTCAGAATTATCCGTGTTCTACGATTTCACGTCGGCTTAAAATGAAAGACAAATAATTTGTGCCAGCGAAACAATATGAAAAATTCATAGAAACAATTGTACTTCAAAAAAATGAAGGATTTAATCTGTAATATCTTTATCAGCTACACTATTCAAAATGTCCAACTAAAATCATAGGAGTAAATAACCAAATGAAGAAACATACCGTCACATTAGAAAAAATTAAAATAATTACACACGGAAAGATATGATTGGTAATATCTTATATTATTTAGAGACGCTTCTGGCTCAGGTTCTCTGCTTTTTTCACACGAATGTTTGAATAAAGAAATATTTCATGAAAAAGGACGGTCCGGCAGATGTTCTTTAAAAAGAAGAAAGGAAAACAATATTGCTTAGCTTGGCATCCAGCTGTTTTTAAAACGAAATGCAAAGATCATTTATAGAAACAAAGAAATGACCATCCAACTCAGTTGGAAGAGCATAAGGTTCTTAATCTTGGGTCGTGGGATCGAGTCTCACGAAGGATATTTCATAATTCGGAAGTCTCCTACAAAAGCTGCTCTCAACCTGATGTTGGGACAGCTTACTATCTTACCTACCCCTTATCCCATTACATATGAGAATAAAGGTAAGCTAATTTATATTTTTAGAAACAGAAAGGGAGAATTGTCAACAATAAACATTTACTATTGTACTTTTTAATGAAAAATCGTACATTTCTAAATTTCAACTCTTTTAAAAAACCAAAATATATTAATATTCAAATTTTTTTATAAAACCTTCTATTACTTTAATGGTAATTAATATATGTAGTTAACGACTTAACGTGATCTTTATTGTATAATTTAAACATTTAAAACGTAACGTTGAGGCGGCCATATTCCTATAATCGACCTGCACATGTATATATGACGTGAAAGTCCAAATGATGACTTGGTTTTGGAAATGAAGAAGAACATTCCATTTTAATGGTAGGATCAAGGGTTAGTTTACTACTATTTCTAAAAAGTACGATGGAGAATTATTTTTTATTTTGAAAGGTGTTTTTAAATTATTTGTTTTAAGATTTCGATATGTAGTTTTTATATCAAAAAGTGATTTTGATAAGATAAATAATTATTTTGGATATGATTTTGTAAGTCAAAGTATATAAATTTAAATGATATTTAAATTTTATAATATATTAAATATACTGACTTAAATTATGATAAAAACATAAAAATGTTTTCATATTAAAATAAGTAAATTTGTAATGATTTTATGTGTTTCATGAGAATATATAAAATTTAAAATACTTTTTATCAAAAAAGTTTGATATGATGAGATATAAAATTTTTAGACTCATAAATAATTTATTTATCATATAATTATATCTTAATAAAATAATATATTAAAAATTACATGATTACATCTGTGAGTTTTTTTTTCTACCTATTGCTGTTTTTCAAAAGTTCCATAAATAAATACAGTCGCACGTTTTATTATTTATTTTGAAATATTTTAATAAAAATACGAGTAGCACTTTTTTTCTTCTCGATGTTAATTACTGGTAGAACTTGATAAAAAAATGATTTTGACTTTTTTGAGTCATGAAAACGCGGGGAGATTGGTCGTATAAAGTTGGCAAATCAAGGCTAACATTGACTTTCAACTAAAATAATGGTGTCTCTGCTCACGAACGATTCCTTTTATCCGTGTATCCGATGAAACTCAACTTTTCCTCAAATATATAAACTTGTATTCAACTTCTCTTCTTCTCCAACCAAAGATTAAAGCCAAAAACGATTTATTTTTTCATTGAAAACAAAGCGATGGGCAGCACGAAGAGATGGGTGTTGTTCAAGAGGCTGATGAAGAAGGAAGCATGGAGGGGGAAGTTCTGGGGGTCTGCTTTCAAATGGAAGAGGCTGAAGAACATTAAACTCTCTTTCATTGAGGATGTGCGTTTCAAGATTGTGTCGGTTTTAGAGGCTATTTACTTGGTGGCTACTCTCTGTTTCTTCTATCTTTGTTGCGGCTGTCACTTTTGACAGTTTTAACGTGTGTATATTATCATATGTAAGATCTATGTATATGCCTTTTGCTTCCTTTCTTTTAATTCCGGCTCTGAATTCTGAGCTCTGAGAGGGGAATGTAAGGCAATTGGAAAGCTTTGAATTTCAGGACTTTGAAAACATTGGGAAGAAAGCTAATTTGTTAACTTCAACCTTTTAAAATTATCTTCTGTTGAAAAAAATGATTTTTTTTTTCATTTTTTCCTTTCTATTTGTTCGTTTAAATTTCATTACTTGGAGAGATTCGAGAAATGATGAATAGGGAGATATTCAAAACTTGCTTATTTCTAATGATACTTCTCTTAAGACCTTTTATATAATCTTTGATGTGAATTTAGAATATATTCGTACATAGTTTAGTAAATACATTCATTAAATTATTTCATTCTTCGTATATTCATCCACATTCAATAATTTAAGGTACATCTTAACAAAGTAATGCATTACATTATTCAACATTTTCACCTTATGTGAAGGGTTTTAGATTAATTTATGAAGTTCAAAGTAGTTTTCAATAATATATATTAGACATGTACTCGTAAAAAAAGACTGAACTAAAAATATTAGGGTTTAATAATCATTGGCAAAAACAGATGGTGGTAATCGATGATGATCAATGAAGGTGATGAGTGTCGGCGCGCAACGAACACTTTGATTGGATTCATGGATTAAATTAATATTTTATGCAAGGTTTAAGGATCAAATTAGTATTTTATCTAAACTTTAGGATCAAATTAATATTTTATCTAAAATTTATAAGTAAAGTTAAAATTTAAACATTTTTAGTAACGTTATCGAATTAACGAGAGTTAACAGCTCAATGATCAAAATAAGACAAATCAAAAATAAAAGTGAAAAGAAAATATTTTTTTTCAAAATCGATAACCAAAATAAGAAAAACCAAACATAAAAGGAATCAATGTTGCAGTTTACCAAAAAAAACTATTATAAAAAAATATCTCCTTTAAGAGGCTACTAAATATATTTACATAAATATTTTATTTATTTATTTGGTACATTGAAGAGGTTTAAAGAACCGATGAAAATTACAACCTTAGGATTCCTTCACCTTGGCATCGGCCAACAGTATGGTTTTTAGCTCCTCGGTGGGGGATTCTAAAATTTTAACTTCGATTGTTTGTTCCAGACTCAGCTTCGCAGTGCCGGTTGATCTGCGAACCTATTTCCTTCTCGCCACGTGTGCCTTACTTCGTAAATTTATCCCTTTTTTCAACTAGTTTTTGCAGTCTTTTACTAGCATGTTATCTAAATTTTCTTCCTTCTTGTTCTCCTTTCAGAGTCTCCACTATCCATATTGCATCTATCTCAACGATGGGTTTCCTCGCTCCCAACCTTTTTGCTAGTTATTTACATAAATACTTTTTTAAAATACATTTAATATTATTTTTTTGTTTTACGTGGATAATAAACATGACAGTATCTAGTAAAACTGAACAATAATTGAGAGTTCATGTTAGTACATGAGTTATGATGCTCTTAGGATAAGATTAGGCCTCGGACTCATAGCGGATGGGCTTTATTGGATCCCAATAAAAAAACGAATAAACCGACTCCACTGGGGATCGAACCCAGAATCTCTGGTTCCGTAGACCAACGCCTTATCCATTGGGCCATGGAATCAACCGTTTGATGTCGTATTTTATAAGATTAAGAAAATATTTCATTAACTTAATTCCCCCCAAAAAAGTGTCATCCTCACGCTCTTTCCCGACAATACCGGGGCTTAGGGCTGGAGATGAAAAAGGGAAAGAATCTCATTGAATCAGCATTTTCTCCAAACTTGAGTATAGTAGGAAGGCAAAGAAAAAGGAGCAAAAGAGAAAATGGAGTTGGGAGCTCAAGATTATGCTTGAAGATACTCATTTTTTTCATTTAAATATTATTTATATTATTATTATTATTATAATTACTAATATTATTATTTATTATTAATATTATTATTAAATATTATTACAAGCCCAAATCCAACAGTAACCGGCCCAAATTCAGAAGCCCAATGGAAACCCTAAACCAGATTAGGGTTTTCATCTTCCCAGCCGCCTTAGCTTGCTGCCGTTGGATCTGGCAAGATCCAACGGTCCAGAGATACCCAACAAGGAAGCCCTAGGGTATCATAACCCTAGGGACACGTCCCAGCTGCCAGTGCCACGCCGCGACGTCGCCGCCTTGCTGAAGAATCCAGAAGCTTTGTTGCTTCAACACTAACCGCACACGTCTCCCCAAATGCTGAGTCACCACTGGAAGTCCGGTGACTCACCGAAGAGCCCTTTTGGGACCGGTCCGATGGCCACACCGGTGATGGCTATAAAGCCATCACCCCATCTGCGAGCAAAAAAAGGAGGAGAGACAGAGAACACAACAGAGACGAGGAGACCAAGAGAAATACAGAGAAACAAGATACTAAAAAAAACTACCAACGATCTCAACAACAACGCAGCAAAGAAACAGAAAAGAAAGAAAAGAAAAAGAAAGAAGAGAAACTTACCGAGGAAGCCCCGACCACCGGACCTCACCAAAACCTTCGAAAAACCGAAGGTATATTTCTTAGATTTGCTCCGATCGGGAGCCGTTTAAAAGAAAAAGTCATCGGGACCGTCATTAGGACGGTCCGATCTATGTTTTAGTATAAAAAAAAATTTCCGGCCACCGAAGGCGGTGGCCGGCGGCGATGGCTGGCGGCGGACGAACACCGGCAGACAGATGCCGGCCGTCTGGCTTCTCTCTATTTTAGAGAGAAGCGAGAGAGAAATTACTCTCTCAGAGAAGAGAGAGAGAGGAGAAATAGAGAAATGAAGGCTGGCCCTTCGGGCCAGCCGTTTTGGACCTTAAATAGGCCTTCCCGAACGACGTCGTTTCGGGAAGGACTATTCGTGTAATTAAATAATAGTTAAACCCCGTCCGAAGCCATTCTAACTTGTAAATTTTACATTTTAATCACTAAATCGAGTTTATAATCCTTTTAATTTGATCTTTAAATTTTAGTTTTATTTATTTTAGTCCTTTATATTAAAATAATATATTTAGGATAAATAACAGATTTAATCCCTTAATTTTAATAAATAATATTTTAATCCCTAGTTTATATTTTTAATTTATTTTAATCTTATATTCGAATTTTAGATAAGTTTATTTTAGTCACTAAATTATTAAATAAGAAAATAGCATGTTTAATCCCTGTAATTTTGATTAATTATGAATTAGGTTTTTAATTTTAATTTTACTATAATTTAGTCATTTATTTTAAATATTTTTTTATTTTATTGCTTTTAAATATATAGCTCTAATTGTATTTTTTAAATTTTACTTGTTTATATATTTAAATATTTTTATTATGTAGTCATAAATATATATAATAAATAAATATTTATTTTAAATAAATTATTTTAATATTTATTTTTCAATATCGAAGAAAATGACAGTCTTAATACAACTGGATGTCCTATTCTGGTATTTTAAAATTAAAAATTATAAAAAATATTATTTAATTTAAATTAATATTTATCAATATAAAAGAAAAGAGCTGTCTTAAGGCACCTAGAAGTCCTTTTCTGATATTTTTAAATATTTTTTATATAATTTTGAAATAATAGGATTATAAATTAAATATATTTTGAATTTTTTTAATTTTTAATAATAGAGACAATTTATAATTAAAAAGTGCCAATTTTGGGCGTTGTAGGGGTGCTAATCCTTCCCTAAACGTAATCGACCACGAATCCCTTTTTATTATTAAAAAGAACGAATTTTTGGTTATAAACGCAGATCAGTTCATTTTTTTATTGGTGTTTTCTTAAAACTCTTTTAAAAAAATAATTTTTAGGTATTCGACCTACCTGACCCAAAAGGCCGATGGCGACTCCCAAATTATTTTCAAAACCATTTATTCACATCAATTTTCCCGCCAAATAAATATTTCGTGCCCGGACGAAAACCGGTTGCGACAGCTTGGCGACTCCGCTGGGGACCTGGCCAAACTTTTAAAAATCAATTATAAATTGTCTCTATTAATTATAAATTAAAATTTCATATATTTAATTTATAATTCTTTTATATATATACATATTATTTTTATAGTATTTATATATATTATTAATATTTCATTTTATTTACAAGTATTTTATTCCATTATTTATTTTTTCTGTCAGAGGTTTGAACATTTCTCCTCACACACAACACTTGCATTGCATAACATAAAGCTCTATAATTGAGTTTGTTCCTTTTAAGTGAAAGTGAAAGCGACGTCTTCGTGAGAATTTATTCTCCGTGTCAGACCTAGCAAGTAACTTTCGGGGTTCATATACTCTATGTTTTCGTGAGAATTTATTCTCCGTGTCAGGCATAGAGAAATGTATCCCCTCGAATTGAACTCGATCCATTTTAGTCTGTGATGGACTAAGATTGAGGGTTAGTAACCCAAGGGGGCACTAACAAGGATAATTCGGGTACCTTTATTCTTAGATCTGAAACCCTGCATATAATAAACCCTAGAAACTCTTTCGATCCGAAGTCATGCCGAAATTTTGTCCAAAATAGGTGTACACACAGGAGAAATGAATTCTAACTTTCCTGTTAATTTATTTATTTTCTTTACTGATTAAATTACATGTATATTTAAATTATTTAAATTTAGAAAAAGCATGTTTAAATAAAAATATTTAGGTAAATGTTATTATTAAATTTCTTTATTATGTAAACTAATTCATTTCTTTTTGTGTGTTCTTTATTTTTCTGTTTGCATGGCATCATACAGGATAAAAGGCATTGATCCTTGTGTTAATTGTCTCATTGGAAAGCCTTCATCCATGGATAAAAAGTGTTCAAATCAAGTAATTCTAAACTCAGAAGTAAGACAGTGGGCTAAGGATTTACAAAGACAAGAAGGAGACAGTCTGCAGGATGATTATGTATCTGACTTAGCCAGTTATGCTCCAGTTTCACTAAAAAGAAATGATATGCAAGATTTGCGAAGTATTTGGGAAAGTTGGGATTCAAATAAAAAATTGCAGTTTTATCAGACTTACGGAGACATCCCATATTTGCTCTATGTTGAAGTTGATGATGAATTACTCAGAGCCCTAATTCAATTCTGGAATCCAGGGTACAATTGCTTCACTCTCAATAAAGAGGACTTGGTCCCTACTATTGAAGAGTACACAACTTTGTTACATATCGAAGGAGCTTTGGAGAATCGAATCTATTCAAAGTCAATTAAAACTCAACCCTTTCGAGTTAAATTAGCAAAGATTGCCGGGGTACGAGAAGAATGGGTGGCATCCCGTACAAAACAAAAAGGTGAAAGCGAAGGCATTGCTTGGACCAACATTAAAGAACTTATTCAGAGCCATCCAGATATTAAAGTACGATTCGATTTATTTGCTCTGGGTTTGTATGGTATGGTCATTTTCCCAAAAGTATTGGGATATGTTGAAGCTGCAGTGGTAGATTTGTTTGAACAGCTACCGAAAAAGATTAATCCTTCTTCTGCAATCCTAGCAGAGACCTTCAGATCGTTAAATGCTTGTAGAAAGCTAGGAGGTGGACGATTCTTAGGGTGTACCCAGTTGTTATATGTTTGGATCCGTAGTCATTTCTGGAGGACAGAAAATGTTTCATACCGACGCTTTAATACGGATTACTCACCATTAAAAGAATTTCTGGAGCAGGAATGGCCGAAAGAAATTAAGAAAGATATGTGGATTAATGCCTTTCGAAATCTGCAAAGCAATGACATTGTTTGGCGAGCCCCGTGGAAAATCCAAAGGGAATTCTTTTACAAATGTGGAGATTACAACTGGATAATGCTGCTCGGATTATGGGGAGGAATTGAATATGCACCACTTCTGGTCATAAGACAGTATGAAGGTCGTCAATTTGTACCTGTCACTGCTGGATTACAGTCGTCTGAATTCGCATTCCACAACAAAAATTATAAAAGAAATATCATGGAAGCCGTTACAGCTTGGAAAACAACTTTTTGTATCCGAGCTAAAGCAGCAAAAGAAATGTTAACTCCTGATTATGAGGAATGGAGATATGTCAGGAAAAATGAAAATATTCCTCTACCAGATCAAAATGAGGATATCTCTATGGAAGATCGCATTAAGGTGGTTCCATCAGAGATTGAAATCCTGAGAGTTGAGTTTGAAGCAGAAAGAGAATGCTGGTCGAAAGAATTAGAGCAAATGAGACAAGATAAAGCTATGTTGGGTGTTGACATTGACTTTCATTCATCACAATGTGCAATGTTGAGAAAATATAAAGAAAAAGTTGATGATGAATTCAGAGCATTACAGAAAAATTACCAGGAGTTATATAAATCCCGGAAAGCATCAGGACCAAGCCAATCAACGGTACAGATGACTAGAGAGTTGAACATCGAGAAAAGACGAGTTGAAGATCTGAAAGGAAAGAATAGCCGTCTACTCAAGAGCCTTGAGAAAGGAAAGCAAAAAATGGAAGATTTTGAGGTTGACAGAAGAGAGCGAATTATAAAAATCAAGGCTGAACACCGCGAGATCATGAATGAAATGCAAAAAGAAATGGATCGAGCCAAAGATTTAGAAGATATAAAGAATGACATCTTTGATAAATTTGAAGGTGAGAAAAATATCATGTTCAAGGGATTTGAATCTGAAATGAACCAGTTGATTGTTGAACTTGAAGTCAGAGGCCAAAAAATGGAAGAATACAATATTGAAAAAGAAAAATGGGAGCTAGAAAGAAAAAATTTCAACACCAGACTTGAGGTAGAGCAGGAAGTGGCTAGCAATTGGATGCAAAGATGCAGAAACAAGGATGTTCAAATCCAGAAGCTTAATCAAAGAACGCAAGAAGCACGAACAAAACTTGAAGAAGATCTGGATCAGTCTAGAAATAAAAACTCAGAGTTTAATGCTTACATTTTGCAACTTGAAGAATCGTTGTTTCAAGAAAAGGTTCGTCTAGGACCTAATGATCTCAAAGAAAGTAATGAGGAAAGTGCTTCACTGCGAAGACGCATTAGAGATCTTGAAAAAATTCTGCACAATTGTCAAGTCAGAATCACTGAGTTAGAGCAAACTCTAGAAGGAACGAATGAACAATGGCAAAAGTCAACTAATTTCTATGTTGAAAGAAGTGAAGAAAGAAGTAATATGGTGTTCGAGGCCATGGTTCAAATGAGCGAAGTTGCTAGATATGTTGGGGAACTAGCTGTTGAAGCCAAAATAATTGAGCATCACGTTGATCCAGTTTCTAAGTGCGGAAAGAATGTGTCATGTTTAATGAAAGAAATTATAGAGCTTAATAGGAAAGTTATGCCTTATCTGTAGTTATGAATTATTATAAAGAAACTTTTGTATGCCGATGAAAGTTGTTCTATGACAGTTAACTTTTTGGGATCAATACCTTTTTTGCATACATACATTTTGCATACATTCATCATTCATTTCATAATTTTCTTTATGAATACTTTTATTATTAAGATAAAATTTATGAGTTAAAATTTGAAAAAAATAATATCAAAAGATTTTTCAATCGCAGTTATTCTGGCCAAAAGAGAAATACAACATCACTACGGTACTAGACAAGCTACTAAGAGAATTATGGAGGATAAAATACAACGTATTGAGGAACAGCATAATAAAGAACAAGCAGAAATGAGAATGAAGCTGGAGAAAATCGAAGCCAATATTGCAAATTCACAAGACAACATGATGCAGAAAATAGAGGACATGTTTAAAAGACAGGCTATCATTGGAAAAATGCATGAAAATCATGTATCTTTCGACCAAGAACCTATGTATCCTCTAGGTTTTCCACCAGAACCAATTTATCATTCTGGCACTACACCTATACAAATCAATGCTCGTACATCTGCATTACAAGAAGCCAAATCACATGAAAATCAACAAGTGGATCCTGCATCTTCAAGCAAAAATCCGCTTATATCAGATGTGAAAATAGGGGATCTTAATACTGATCATTTAATCCCAGATTTGAATGAGCTGAATGGGAAACAAAAAGTAAATGAAGAATTGACCAGACAGATCAAGAGCTTAGAAGAACGAATGAAATCCGTGGAAATAACTGAATCATTTTATGGGTTTGACGCTAGTGAGTTGAGCTTGGTTCCAGACTTAATCCTCCCCATCAAGTTCAAAGCTCCTGAATTTGATAAATATGACGGTACTACATGCCCTTCATCCCACATTACTATGTTTTTTCGCAGAATGGCAGGATATGTGAAGGACGAGAATTTGTTAATTCACTGCTTTCAGGATAGTTTGACAGGACCGGCTTTAAAATGGTATACTCAATTGACCAAAGCCAACATTAGATCCTGGAAAGATTTGGCTAAAGCATTTTTAGAGCAGTATCGCCACGTAACAGACATGGTTCCTGATAGATGGACTCTCCAAAACTTGGAGAAAAAGAATAATGAAACATTCAGACAGTATGCCCAGAGATGGCGTGATACAGCAGCCCAAGTTCAACCACCTTTATCAGAAAAAGAGGTCACAATAATATTTGTTCATACATTGAAAGCTCCTTATTTAAATCATCTAATGGGGAATGCAACCAGAAATTTTGCAGATTTGGTCATTTCTGGAGAACTCATTGAAAATGTCTTGAAAAGTGGCAAAATTGAATCAAATGAGGGGTCTAGTTCCAAAAGACCTGTGTACCGAAAAAAAGAGAATGAAGTCAACAATGCAAATTCTTACAACAAGGATTCATCGAAAAGTGTTACAATAAACCAGCCAAGGGTTAAGAAAGAGGAAACAAACACTAATTGAACAGAGTCCAGAGGATCTCGAAAAGAAAATGAAAGGTTATCTTTTACACCTTTACCAGTACCATATGCAGAGATCTATGATTCGCTGTTAAAAGCAGATGTCATACGGCCCTATCCTTTGGTTCCTATGCAACCACCATTCCCTCTTTGGTATGATACAAAGGCACATTGTGTTTACCATGAAGGAATTACGGGTCATTCTATTGAAAACTGTTTGGCATTCAAAAGGGTGGTTCAAAATTTGATCAACACTGGAAAGTTGGAATTCAATACACCATCTGCATCAAATCATCCATTGCCAAATCATGGAGATAAAAACGTGAATGCAATTCAGGAAGAGAACAGAAAGAAAGTAAAAACTGACATTTCTGAAATTAAATCTCTTTTTGTTTGGGTATTCCAACAACTCTCTTTAGCCGGTATAATTCCACAACAATTCAGGCCAAAGCAGAATGAAGGCAAGAATTATTGTGAATATCATCAGGAGAAAGGGCATAAAATTCAACTATGTTTTATGCCCTGAGTTTAGGGATTTGGTGCAAAAATTGATGAACAACAGAGAAATAGAATTCTTTGAAGAAGAACCATGGAAAAAAGAGGATGATGTTTTCTCATCAGAGGATTCTAAACCTAATCAAAGAATAAATGATCCTGTGATCATTAATGTGAAATCATCTACGGCGATTCCTGCACCAATAAAGCCGAAAGTAGTTATCACCACTCATCTACCATTTCCATACAAAGATACCCGCAGGGTACCTTGGAATTATACTACCAATGTTTCAATGGTAGGAGGATCTGTTTCTCTAGAAAAAACAGAAGAGAAAAAATAGAGTTTGGGTACAACATCGAAGTCTGAAGCAGTGAGCGAAGTCGGTTTCTTTACAAGAAGTGGGAGATGTTACTCTCCCGAAACATCCAATGCTTCAGAACAAGTGAAAGCAAAAGGAAAAACCATGGTAATACCTCAGAAGGTATTTGAGGATGAATCCCTTCCAGCATTTAATGAGCCTGTGACAGAAAAACAAGCTCAAGAATTTTTGAAATTCTTGAAACATAGTGAGTATAGTGTGGTTGAACAACTACACAAACAACAAGCGAGAATTTCTATTCTTAATTTATTGATGAATTCAGAAGCACATAGAAATGCTTTGATGAAAATTCTCAATCAAACATTTATCCATGAAGATATATCCCTCAATAAACTTGACAGAATTGTGGGACATATAGCCGTTGACAATTACATAACGTTCACGGATGATGAAATACCGGAAGGCGGAATGGGGTCAGTAAAAGCTTTGAACATCACGACACATTGTCATGGTCATGTGTTGCCAGGAGTATTGATTGACAATGGATCCGCTCTCAACTTGATGCCTCTAGTCACACTTCAAAGAATGCATGTGGATCAATCACACATGAAGAGTTATCAGAATGTAGTGCGAGCATTTGATGGTACTCAAAAAGAAGTGCTTGGGAAAATGGAAATACCGTTGTTAATTTGACCAGTCGTGTACAGTATTGACTTTGTGGTGATGGACATCCACCCTACATATAATTGTCTATTAGGGAGGCCATGGATTCATTCAGCAGGAGCCGTTCCTTCTTCATTACATCAGAAATTGAAATTTGTTGTTGATGGACAACTAATATGCGTAGGAGCTGAAGAAGAAATCATTGCGTCGGTAACAAGTGATGTTCCATATATCGACACCAATGATGATGCTCTTGAATGCTCTTTCCGAGCTCTTGAATTTGTAAATGCAACTTTTATTGCAGAAGGAAGCAAAATTCCATATCCCAGATTGTCTGATTGCACCAAGATGACGGTACGACAAACTTTAGGCATCGGAGCTAAAGCTGGGAAAGGGTTAGGAAAGAATCTTCAAGGGATTTCAGTTCCTGTAAGTATAAAGATGAAGAAAGATCGTTTTGGGCTTGGGTTTAAGCCCAATTTTCAGCAAAAGAACAAAGAGATGAAAAGAAGATGTGAAGACAAAAAGGCAAGGTTGAAAGGGAAAGAAATCCTTTGGGAACATATGTTTTTCCCACAGTTGAAGACCACATTCATATCAGGGGGAACAATTAATGTAGAACAGCAGCTTGTTAAAGCCTTTAAAGAGGAAAAGTTGACGAAAGATCAAAATATAGTTGAAGAAGCTATGAATGGATTATTTATCAACATGATCATGAATGACAACAAGACTGGCAAATACTTGGATAGGATTCGCCCATGTTTTCCTGGAGAAACACTCAACAATTGGACCACTGAAGATCTTCCTATAGTTTTTAATATTAACGCAGAGTAATATTCAGAACTAATCTTTATGTTTAGCTCAAAAATATGAAAACTTTTTGTTATCTTGTAAAGGAAATTATGTTAATTATAAGAAATTTTCTTTAAAATTTTCAGATGGCAATCATTCTTTACATTTTCTTACATTTTTACATTTATTTATTTCATAAATTTACTATATTCTTTCGGAAATATGTCCGACTTAAATTTGCAGGGGTCACCATGTTAATAGCATGTTTATTCCTAAATTTAATCAAGAGATAAATTTAGAGCAACCTATATGTCTGGAAGAAATCAATGGGTGTGAGGATGAACCGGAATGTGATGTTCCTACTGAACTATTAAGATTGGTAGAAAAAGAAGACAAACAAATTCTACCCCACAAAGAAGAGATTGAGACTGTGAATTTGGGAACAGATGAAGAAATGAAAGAGGTGAAAATTGGTACTACTCTGACAATCCAGATAAAACAAGAATTGATAAATCTCCTTCAAGAGTTCAAAGATATCTTTGCCTGGTCTTATCAAGATATGCCTGGTTTAAGCATAGATATAGTGATACACAAGCTTCCAATCAATCCAGAATATAAACCGGTCCAACAAAAGCTCAGACGAATGAGGCCAGAAATGTTGTTGCAGATCAAAGAGGAAGTGATGAAACAGATCAATGCAGGTTTCCTCCAGGCAGCTAAATACCCAGAATGGGTAGCCAACATTGTTCCTGTACCAAACAAAAATGGGAAAGTTCGAATGTGTGTGGATTACAGAGATCTCAACAAAGCTAGTCCGAAAGATAGCTTTCCATTACCCCACATAGACACATTGGTAGACAATACTGCAGGACACACATGGTTTTCATTTATGGATGGCTTTTCAGGATATAATCAGATAAAAATGAATCCTGAAGACATGGAAAAAACAACATTTATAACCATGTGGGGCACATTCTGTTATAAAGTGATGCCATTTGGATTGAAAAATGCAGGGGCAACATATCAAAGAGCCATGGTAACTTTGTTTCATGACATGATGCACAAAGAGATTGAAGTATATGTAGATGACATGATTTCCAAATCCCGAACTGAAGAAGAACATATTCAAAATCTGAGAAAGCTTTTCCAGAGATTGAGGAAGTATCAATTAAAGCTCAACCCCGCAAAATGCACTTTCGGGGTAACTTCTGGAAAACTTTTGGGATTTATGGTCAGCAAAAAAGGAATCGAGATTGATCCAGATAAAGTAAAAGCAATTCAAGATCTTCCACCACCCAATACAAAAAAAGAAGTTCGAGGCTTTTTGGGAAGATTAAATTATATATCTCGGTTCATTTCTCAATTAACTGACAAATGTGATCCAGTGTTTAAATTACTTCGAAAGAACAATCCTGAAGTCTGGAATGAAGAATGTCAAGAAACTTTGGATATTATTAAGAAATATTTATCCAATGCCCCAATTTTAGTATCACCAATGCCTGATAGACCATTAATTCTCTACTTGACGGTCTTCGAAAATTCGATGGGATGTGTACTAGGACAGCATGATGAATCTGGAAGAAAAGAAAAAGCTATTTATTATCTGAGCAAGAAATTTACTGATTGTGAAATTCGATATCCACCAATACAAAAATTATGTTGTGCCTTGGTGTGGGCTACTCGAAGACTCAGACAATATATGTTATACCATACTACTTGGCTGATATCAAAACTTGATCCTTTGAAATTCTTAATGGAATCACCAGCTTTGACAAGCAGAATGGCTAGATGGCAGATGTTATTATCTGAGTTTGATATTGTATATGTCAACCAAAAATCAATAAAAGGAAGTGTAATAGCTGATTTTCTGGCCAGTCGTGTATCAAATGATTATCAGCCTTTGAGTTTCAATTTTCCTGATGAAGATTTGTTATGTATATCCATGAATGAAGAAGTCAGAACAAATGACACATCTG